TTGATCAAGTATTTGGAAATACTTGATGTAAACTTAGAAAATGCTTTCTCAATACAGATTTCAAGCCAGGCATTTACTTGTAGTTTAGGGTCTGCACTTTATTCTGCAAACTCCTTGTGAGTATCTGCTCTGCTTGAAGCTCTGCTGGGCAGTGTACTCTGGTCTTATTTTCTTCTGGTGTCACTGCTTGCCCATATACTTCCCCTTTGGAAGAGATGGTGTCTGCAACATTCAAGGACTTCCTCTAGTCTAGAGTTCAGGCCTTTCTCCCTAACTACTAAGGCCATTGGCTTGTCCTGGGAAGATGACATGAGCGGTCACAGGTTACACTTCACTGCCTAGCCTTCTCTAGCAACATGGCTCCAGTTCTGCAGTTGTTATTGAAGATACAGGATTATTTTAAATTGGGGAAAAGGGGGTGGAGAGATCTTTTGTGCTTTGGAGGGAAAGGACTGCTACTGCCATTCCCCTTCTGTTTTAATGTGGAATTAGGAACAATACAGAAACCACAAGGCTCATCCTCCTCCACCCTATCCTACCAGTTACCTGCCACTGCCTCCCACCCCGCCATCCCATCACTGTGGCATGTGTAGCTTGCTTCAAGCGGGCAGTCCACACTGTGGGTGGCCCTCCTTGACACCTACACACCTGTGTCACCTAAGGAAATCTTAGTTTTGCTATCTGATTATTGTGCTGCAGACAAATTGCACAGTGAAATAGTGGTATTTGGCGAATAGTGGTATAACAGGTTTTTGGCAATTACTTTCATTTTTCATATAAGCAATCTTTTTCATCAGACTGTTTGCTCCTTGAGTACCCAGCCTATTTGTGACAGTCTCTTGCCAGATTTTATAGTAAATGCTTTTTAACAGGACCTTGCCATACTTCAGCCCCCCTCAGTCAATTTTGTGTATGGCTACTGATGCAGCAAATATGCAAACATGATCCTTAAAAGCCAAGAACAATTTCCTTGTATAATTATTATTTATCATCAAATAACATTCCACTTCTCCTGAAGACTCTTTCCTTTCATTGAGGAACATTTCAAACAAGGGACAGCATTCCAGGTGAAAGAAATAGGTGGTGCAAATGCTGACCTGGAGCAGAGGGAGCAACAAGATGAAATGAGTGGGGAGAAAGTCAGAGGTGACAGGAAGCCAGCCAGGTGGGGTCCTTAGAAGGAGCTCAGTTTGCTTGGAGTGAGTTGGGAGAAGTTAAAGGGGTTTGAGAGGAGGAATGATTTCAATTGTTTTTATTGAGATAACATTGGTGTATGATATAGTATATGATCCAGTGGCACAGATGTTTTATTTTTTATTTTTTTAAAAGATTTATTTATTTATTCATACAGAACTGGGGTACAGGCCAGAGATGTGGAGTGTGAGAGGATTCACCAGAGACAGAGAGGAAGCAGAACAGGCAGATCGACAAAGTATACTGCTGAGGGGAGCAGCGGGCGAGTCCGGAGAGGTCTGCCGCGCCATGTGGTTACCTCCGGGGCAGGCGGGAATCAAACTCATGTGAAGTGGCTTTAGCTTCTTGGTGCAGTGCTTTAACCCGCTGCGCCACCCGTGAGGGCCCCCAGATGTTTTATTTTAATGCATTCACTCTGGGTGTTGGATTGAGAATGGGGAGTAGAATCTTGGATGAGAAGGATATTTGCTCACAATAAACCAGGTGTGCGGAAACATAACTTGGGCCAGTGTGGTAACAATGGAGGTAGTGAGAAATCATGTTCTAGATATATTTTGAAGATGAAACCCACAGAATTTGATAAAGGATTGGACTTTGATTGTGAAGGAATAAGACTGAATGTGCAAAACATTAATTCAAAAGGGTACCTGCACCCGTATATTTATTGCTGTTCTATTTACAACAGAGAAGATGTGGAATCAATCCATTGCCCAAAAATAGATGACCGGAACAAGAAGATGTAGTACATATACACAATGGAATATTACTAGACAATAAAAAGGTAAATCCATGCCTTTTGCAGCAACGTGGATGGAGCTGGAAGGGAATCATGCTTAGTGAATAAGCCAGAAAGAAAAAGAAAAATACCAGATGGTTTCACTCATAGCAGGAGTATGAGCAGGGATCGAGGGGAAAAAAGCAAAATTATAATAAAGTAAAAATGAAAAATAACAAACAACTATAAACTAGAGACATTCTATGGGGGAGGAGAGGGGAGTAGGATCAAAACTGGGGTGGGAAGAGCACACAAGACTATGCTATTGGCATATGGGTGAATTGGTGGTGGGAAGTACACGGGGATGACAACCAAGATGAAAAAAAAGGTACAAAATGAAGAATGATGTAAAATAAATTAATATATCTAAATTAAAAAAAGAAGAAGACTGAAATGTGACTCCAAGCCTGAGACACAGATGAAATTGTAAAATGTCATGATGGTACGAGCAGCGTCTCTTCTACGGTCAGTGCTGTGTTTGTGGGCAGTGAGTGGAGAAGCGTCAGGCAAAACTTCATAGAGAACTCACCACTTAAACTGAGTCATAAAGGAGATGGCAGAACACCAGGCACTCAAGAGCAGGGAGAGTGTTCTGAGCAGAGGGGACAGTTTGTGTAAATGCAGTCTTGAAGGGACAGTGGGAATTTCTTAAGCCAGGGAACAATATCAGACATACACCACAGAGAGATGTCCCCGGCAGTATCCAGTGAAGGAGATTGGAGGTATGGGGTAAGGGGATCTTCAGGAATTCTGAGAACTAATAAAAGACAGTTTTATCATTAAAATAAAATGAATAGTTTTATCTCTAACGACTTCCTCCATATTGCTGAATGCCGTTTTTATTTTCTACCTCCTGTTATAAATAGCAATAATATAAATAATCATTTTTTGTTGTTCAGGATTTTTTTTTCTAAGATAAATTCTTGGGCCTTTAAAAGGACACACACACAGCCATCCCTTTTGTAAATTTTCTGTATTAATGACAGGCAATATTACTTCATCATAGAGTTTTTGTGATGCTGAAGAGAATGTGAATAATGGGCAACCCATTGTTGCACAGAGCATGTTTCCCTAAAAAGCATATCAAAAGGTTCACATCACATGAGCCAAGGGCTACAACTATGTTTCTACTGTATATTCAATGCCAGTGAATCCAGTGAACTTTATTTATTTGTTTTTCTTGACATGCTAGTTGTTATGAGATCTTACCTGGGCTGGCTGAATCAAAAGTTGGATACTTTACTCTTGATTGCTTCTCTCTCTATGATGAAATTGAAAGAGTTTCTGTAACGAAATTGAGAAACCATGAAGGAGTTCATTGTTAAAGTAACCTCTAGCCGATTGTGTGATGTCCAAATACAACATGATAAGAGTGGTTTGAATTTTAACTTTGAAATAGAGAATTTTGCAACAGTCGTCACAATGGGGCTGTCCTTCACATGCTCATGCTCTGTTCTTCCCACCTAAGCCCTTACCTACTGTGGATTTTCTTCTTTGTCTTCTTTGCTCCTATTTCCATTCCTGAGGTTCACAGGATATTTTGGGATATGCCATTTTTCCAATTTTTCTCCAAAGCAGACATGAACCCATTATAAAATTTGGTGATTTTTATAAATATCCCATCATATCATTATAAACAATTTTGCCACAATAGGAAAATGATTAAACCAGTATTCTCTTATTAGAGATTGAGTCTAAGCCAGTTCTGGAGAAGGTTTCCAGTGGATTTTTACTTAGTATCATTATATGTAATCATAATGTATAGTAATCATACTATAACTATGAACAATTTAGTAAGATAAAGTGTCTTATGGTAGAGATTCATATTTATTAAGGTGTCAGACATTTACTGAGTGTGCCTTGGGCTGAGGGCTTAGAGGGTTGGTGCTTGTCCTGATTTTGAAAAAACTTTATATGCAGAGTTTGACACGTTTTGGTGTTTTTCTTCTGCATTTGGGTCATCTTGGCAAAACTTGGGTTTGATAATTCATGCTTATAAGACTTCAGAGGTAGGAGGTTAAAGTCTGGAGAAGGCGGCTGACTTGCATCAGTGCGGCTAAATAGCCATTCCTGGCCAGCAGCCTTTCTGCTGTCCCACCTGGTCTTCTAACCATCAGTACATCTTCTGCAGCTTAGGTGACCCATTAGCACCTCTAGTCTGTGAGCCTTGAAACGTAATTCCCGGCCATCACACAGTGGGTATAAAAATAACATGTTTCAGCCCTCCCTGGTGGCGCATCGGGTTAAAGCACAGCACTAAGAAGCTTAAGCCACTTCCGAATGAGTTCGATTCCCGCCTGACCCGGAGGTGACTACATGGCACGGCAGACCTCTCCTGACCCGCCCGCTGCTCCCATCAGCAGTGTACTTCGTTGATCTGCCTGTTCTGCTCCCCACTCTGTCTCTGGTGAAGCCTCTCGCCACCCCTGAGCCTCTGGCCTGTACCCCAGTTCTGTATGCACAAATAAATAAATCTTTAAAACAACAACAACAACATGTTTCTCTTCCAAATTTTAGTAAGTAAGCTTTTTTCCTTGTAGCCAAGATATATTTTTCAAGTGGGAAAATGAATTTCTGTAACAGAGAAGAGAGATTAGAATATACCCTATAAATATTATTGCATATTTTAAAAAGTACTTTTAAAGAAAAACAGCAGTTTCCCTTTAAAATGTGACAGATTGCTTCGCTACCATGTGGTATTGTCTCCTCCAAGCTCTGTGAAACTCTATGGAGATTAAATTGGACAGGAGAAACATATCCAGTGTGGAATGAAAAAATATGTATGTGAATTGTGGAGCGTGTGGAGGGGGGAAAGAACAATACAAAAAAGTTACCCTCTGGGGAAGCCTTCCTTGGCTTCAGGGAAGTTAGCAGGCTGGACTTTCCTGCCAAGTTGTCCTTTATAGTCAATGAAAAAGACTTAAAGCTTGAGGTTCCTCCCGAAAAGGGACTGGCTTAATGTAGCCCCTCCCACGAGCCCAGGGTCTGTTATATCTCTGTTCCTTGAATACCTCTCTCACTGAGACCGGCCACAGCAAGCAGAGGCTGGGGAAAAAAAGAGCAAAGAAGAAGAAAACAAAAGCTGCCAGTTATGGAAGAGATAGAGGGTAAGAGCGAAACTGATTTGATCTGAAACCTTAAAACCAAAAAAAGGAAAAAAAAAAATCCCAACAAACCAAGAGCCCAGATCAAAAGCATCTTCTTGAAAGAGAAGAGCAAAAAGCCTTAAATGAACTTTCCTACCAGCTCCTTTTTGAGAGGTGGCAGAGAAAGAACTTTGGGAAACTTTAAGTAAGCAAAGCTGGGATTGTAGTCAGGAGTGACTCTTGAGTAAGCTGGAAGGGCTCATGAATATTCATTACCAGTCTGCTTAGGTTTTTTTTCTAGGCAAATGACTTCTTAGGTCCACTTGCAGTTTAGAGGCAGCTGACTCATTTACAGTCCAGAGTCATCTTGCTTTGGGTCTGTACCTCTGCTTGTTTGCCTCAAGATGCTGGGCTCTGTATGTAGATTTTTTTGTTCTGGAATTTCTGTAGCTTTCCTTTTGTGAATTTAGCAGAGGTTTCTCTGCCTTGGAGTTAGACAGTAAGTTAATGAGGCAGAGGCTATCACAACACCATCCCACAGTGTACCATACAAAAGACTGAAAGTCTCTAGGGATGTTGGGGGGGCGGGCAGGAAGCGGCATGTATGTATGTAGGGGAGGGAAGAAAGTGGGTGAAGGAACAAAGAATGGTTTTATCTTTAAAAAGCAAGGCATATCTGACTGACTATATTTAGATTTTGACTGAAACTACAAGAGGGGCCTGGCTTACACAGATGTACATTCTCTGTCTTTTACCTCTTTTGGGCATTTTCTGCCAGGACCTTGTGCCAGCTGCTTGGCAGCCGATGAGAGCAGGGAAAACTCTTGGTAGCTGTATGATCGGTTAGGGTGGCAAACCTTTTCCTATCTTTAATTTCCATGATCTTATACTTTTATTTTTTGTCACATAGAACACAGCAGAATCAGATCAGTAGCCAGCAGATTTCTTAATGATGATATTAATGATAATCATTAATGTTTGCTGTTTGCTGTGTGCTGGGAGCTGTTCTAAGCATAATGTACAAGTTATTCATTCCTCACGTTAACCATATGAAGGAAGCTGCTGTCATTATCATCCCCATTTTGCAGTTGAAGGAGTTGAGATAGTGAGACATCACATAGCAAGTGGTGATGAATTCCTGGGGTCACATAATAAGTGGTGAATTCCTGGGGTCACATAGTGAGTGGTGAATTCTGTTGTAGGTAATTGGACACAGGGCTCGAGGGTCTATTTATTCCCCCACACTGTTGCTGTTCTCCAAGGGCTTTTGCCCTGATATCATTGATTCTGGGTTTGCAAACCCTTGAAGGGATTAGGGAAATGCTGCTGATAAAACCTCAAGTCTGGGAAGGAACTGTGCTTTGCTGTCAAGTGCATGTACATTTTGACCATCATGGCCACTCTATGGTGGAGTCCAGGTTTGTGGAGACTGCCTTTTACAAAAAGGAAAGACATTGGTCAGGTGGGATGAGGTGACAGCAGTCATACAACTGGTAACCAGAAGTCCAGAACGAACGAGAAATCCTCTGCATCTAGTGTCCCTTTTAATCTGCAGAGCAAGCCCAAACATTCTGAATTTCTGTCCTCGCTGCCATTTTCAGTTCCCCAGGAAACTTTAGTCCTTTCCTCCCTACCAGATCATTGCAAGGTGCTTGCTTCTGCCTTGAAGGCCTGTCTGGCTCTGTCCTTCCTTTTTAGCCTGGAGCCAAGCTGTGTAGTTTTGAATTGCAACTCTACCATTTACCACTCACATTCCTCATCTATACAATAAAGAAAATAATAATAACATTTATCTGATAGCATTGTAGGACTAAATGAGGGACTCTACAAAATTCTGTCACTGACCCCAAGATCGTCTGCCGTCAGGTGATTGTAAACCAGTTAATATAATAACAAGGTTTGGTAAGGCAGAAAAGAATTTTATCGCTTCACAAGCAAAAGAATCCCAAAGCACCTTCCTGGCTGGGGTTGCGAAAAGGAGCCGTTAAGCCAACCAGGGGATGGGGTTTTCTTGAAGGTTGAGCCCTGCTGCTCTTTATTTTCTTCTTATTATTACGTTTGTCCCTCTCAGCTAGGTTTTGGGTGGCCCTGTGATATGTATTTATTTTAATTGCTTATAAACAATGTTTATGATTCAGAGGTATAGGATCATACTTCTTCAGATATATACCACCAATTTGACCTTTAAACAGCAGCAGCTCCTGCTGTGTTCAATAAATGTCATTATTTTGAGCATCATCTTGATCGTTACCCCTCCTTTTAAACCTTCTGCAACACTTTAAGCCTTAGATTAGGACCTACCTTGGATGCTTCTATGATGTCTCGTCACTTAGACCTAAGGTTTTGCCTGTCATTCTTGCTCACATTCCTGCACTCTGCATTCACCCCACCCTCTCTCCTCCACTGTAATTTTTTATTCTCCTTTGAGCTGGTGAATAGGCCAATGTCTAGCACACAACAGACATGCAATAAATATTTAGTAAGTTATGTATTATTATTTTATTGGATATTTATCCAAGAGTCAGGAAGCTGTTTTAAAATATCTTGCAGTAGAGTTTCCCTGCTGGGACACACAGCAACTGTGTGCAAGTTATAAAGAGATTAATTTGTGAATACACTGAAAAAAAAATTGCATTCTTTCTAAATGGATGATTTTCAGAATTGATGTGACCCCATATCAGGGTACCACTCTCCCCCTCAGCCAGAGGTCAATTGGAGGTTTCAGTTGCCTTGAAGAACAATCATGCCATCCCTGGACAAAAATCTGTTTCCAGAAATAGTGTCTCCTTAACTTCATCCTCCCACCCCTTTTTAAAGCAATCTGTTAATAGGAGAAAAACAAATACTACAGAGGTTGGCCCTGGGTAAAAATAAAGTACATTAAATTGTTTCCAGCTCCCTCCCTTTCCTCTTCCTGGCATACCTTCAAACCAACTTGACAAATATTATTGTGTGTCTACCATTTGTAAGTCTATGCCAGATGCTTGGGATATAAACAGTTTGTTCAGGGTCTAGCAAGGAAGGCAGACATAGACATAACCAACACTAACTGAAGCCAGACTCTGTGAAATGAAATAATAATAGCTAAATTTTATATGAATTATCTCATGCATTCTTCACAACAAACCTGTAAGTTTAGACATTTTACAGTTCTGGTAGGAAATCACTTGGCTAAGGTCACACAGTAATAGGAGAAGACAGAGTATTTCAGCTTTAAAAGGCTAATAAATTTTATCTTTGGTTACCTCAACCAAACCCCAAAAAACAAAAAACGAATAAAACCCAATAAGTAGGCTGCAGAGTCAGGATTCCTAATGAATAAGTTCTCTTACCTCCCTAAGAGAGGTAATAGAAGAGATGTAGATGTCTAAAGAAAATGTTGTGAACAACAGAACAAGAAGTGATTTCTTGGAAACCTCAGAAGATGGGGCACTTCAGTTGGGCCTAGAAAGATGAGAAGAGCCTAGTGCCTACACCTAGCAAAAAAGAACTTTTCTTTTTCCTTTACCAAAACTACAGCCTAGATTTATCATCATCATCATCATCATCATCATCATCATCATCATCATCACTACTACTAATTTACAGCCTAGATTTATGCGTTAAAAAGTTCTTTCACCTTTCCAACTTCAAGCAGAAAGCCTAGTCATGTGTCCCTCCTAGAGATTAAGGTAAAGCCCAAAATTTAGCCTTAACTTTGGGATTATCAGTCATGTAGATACTCAAAATTTTACACACTAACATTCTATTAAGCAATTTCCTTAATAATGATTTTCCTGCATGGTCATTAGGGACATGTGGATAAAGTTCTTTACAGAAGGCTGTGACTGACTTCACTTACACTTGGCTAAACCACATTTAAAGAGTATTTCCTCCCTTGTGTTCTCTTTTGGGTGCTTCTGCATCACTAGAGATTGGTGATGTTAGTACTTAATTCTACCTGCCACCAGCTGAATGGTGCTGGGCTCTGCACCATTTAAGGCCAAGGGAAAACCACATAGGGCCTATTCTTTGTGACCTCCTTTCCCTGAAACATGTTGGGGGGAGGCCAAAACTGAGGGTGAACAATCATAAAACATGTTGGTGGTTTGATGCAAGTGCCGAACAGTGAAGGCACTAGCTTTGTTGTTGTTGTTGTATGTGTGTGTTTGTGTGCTTGTGTATATGTGCATTCTCAAACTTTAACCTGCAAGCCTATCCTTGGGGATTCTGTTAAAATGCAGATTCTGATCCAATGGCTCTGGGATGGGCCTGAGATGCTGTATTTCTAATAAGGCTGCAGGGGCAGGTAATACTGCCCCTCCATGGGCCACACTTTGACCAGCAATGTTAAAGGGTCATTGTGTGCCTTTGTCTCTGGCTTATTTGTTCCTAAATGACCAAACCCTTCCTTCCCCAATGTCAACCCTCCCCCACAAGCACAAACTACCACTTTGAGTCATTAATCAACTATAGGAAGCCTTATTCATGCTTTGTTCATTCAGTAAAATTTTCCATGTAAGAAATAAATCTGAATCTTTATCACACACAAGTAGTCATACACACAGAGGCCCTCTGTGTTGATATAGTAAATCTCTCCCACCTTTTCTCCGAGACTCTAAGTTTCCCTAAGCTGTCCTCTCTTCCTGCTGCCAGTCCGAGTTGCAGGACAGTTGGTTGCCTCCAGGGGCTTTTGCTGGTGCTGGGAGTGCCAGGCTAGGGCACTGGAGACAGCAGGGACTTAAGGCTCTGAGGCCAGGAGCACCACGGCCAGAACACCGTCTCCACTCTGCAGGAAGGCGGTGGGCATGGTCCCAGGTGCAAAGGAGGAAAATGAGTGCAGAATTGAAGGGATTTCTTTAGGTTTGGAAAGTGGAGGGAGTTGTGCGGAAAAAAGAAGTTGTTGGAGAAAAGAAGCCAGAGGAGAGTCTGTGTGACATGCCTCCAACCTGCAGTTTTTGTGCTAGAATGCCAAATCAATTTAGAGACTCAGGGACAAGAGAGGTCTCCCTTTTGATTCATAGGAAGGATGTGCAGGTGTA